TCTATCCGGCAGCCACCTGATCACACAGCTATCCATCGATCTAATATCTATCCATCCACAGCCTTACAATCCACCCGCCCAGCAACTCATCCCTCTATTCAGCCACCCACCCACTATCCATCCAGCACCCGGCCCACCCATCCCCTCACACCCCTTCCATCCATCTATTCACCCACCCACCTACCCACCCACCTAGCCATCTATCTATCCATCCATCCATCCACATACCTACCCACCCATTCACCCATTCATCTATCAATCTACCTACCCACCCACCCAGCCATCCATCATCTCTTGAATCTCTACCATGTCCCGAGGACTGTACTGGGTACTGGAGAGACAGAAATGAAAGACATTGTCCCTGTCCTCAAGGAACTCACAGTCTAGTGGGGGAGTCAGAGAACAAAGCAGATGATTCCAGTCCAGAGTGTTAGGTGCTCTGAGGGGTGAGTGGCTAGCTGTGGGCATCGTGGAAGACTTCCCTGAGGTCATCTTGTGTTAAGGCTCAAAATGTAGGTGTGAGTGTCCCAAGAGGTGGGACATGGTTTCCAGGCCAAGGAAGGTAGGTCATGTGACTGGGGCAGGTGGGGGCCCCTCTTCTGCTCCCAAAGCTCAGGCTCTGTCTTTTATTTTCCACTAGAGGCCCGGTGCATGAAATTCGTGCATGGGTAGGGTCCCTAGGCCTGGCTGGTGATCAGGGCTGATCTGTGGGGCACCCACCTTGGCTGGCCTGGCGCCACCTGCTTGCTGGCCGGCCACATCTCCCGATTGCCCTGCCACGGGTGGTTGCCTCCCTCTGTTGGAGGCAACTGGTGGGGCGATGGGGTGGGAAGAGGGCGCCTTGCTGGCACCCGCCTTGGCAGGCCTGGGGCCTGTGGGCTGGGGGCAGCTCCTGCATTGAGCATCTGCCCCCTGGTGGTCAGTGCGTGTCATAGTGACTGGTCATTCCACTGGTTGTTCCGCCGTTTGGTTGATTTACATATTAGTCTTTTATTCTATAGCAGTGGTTCTCAACCTTCCTAATGCCACGACCCTTTAATACAGTTCCTCATGTTGTGGTGACCCCCAACCATAAAATTATTTTCGTTGCTACTTCATAACTGTAATTTTGCTACTGTTATGAATCGTAATGTAAATATCTGATATGCAGGATGTATTTTCATTGTTACAAATTGAACATAATTAAAGCATAGTGATTAATCACAAAAAACAATATCTAATTATATATGTGTTTTCCGATGGTCTTAGGCGACCCCTGTGAAAGGGTCATTCGACCCCCAAAGGGGTTGCGACCCACAGGTTGAGAACTGCTGTTCTATAGGATGTTTGTCTCCCCATGAGGCCTGATCCATTGTATGTGCCCAGCAAACATTCCTCATTGGTGAATGGGAAGTTGGGGATGATCTGTCAAAAAGAATGGCCTTATGGGCCACACTGAGGAGCTTCTGGCTCTGTGGGCCCTGGACAGTTGCAGGCGGGGAATGACACCATTACCCAGGCTCCCTCTGCTCAGCAGGGAGAACAGGGAGGGCGGACGAGGGTGCCTACCCAGCTCCTACCTTTCACAGCCTCCTGGGCCTTCAGCTCTTTCCCTGTGCGGGTAAGAGCCATTGTGTTTACGAAACCTTCCCAATGGTAGGTCTCTCCTGCCCTGTGTGCGTGCATGGGCGGCGTGAGTGTGTGCATGTGAGTGTGTGTGCGTGTGTTGGGGGAAATGGGGGGACAGAGTCATATAGAGGGTGGGGTATATGCAGTGGTGGCCTCTCGAGTCAGGCTGCCTGGTTTTGATTCTCACTCTGCCTCTTGTCTGCTCTGTGTCCTGGGGCAAGTGTCTCAACCTCCCTGTGTTTCAGTTCAGTTTCTCAGCTTGTTGGGTAACAGCCTCGTCCTCATCCGGAGGGTTCTTGGACCGATAAAGACAGTCGTCATGTGTAAGCAGGTAGAGCCCTGCCTGGTACCCGGTAAACACCTGATAAACAGTGGCAGGAAAGTGGAGTGCTGGAGGCAGGCTGTTTATTCATTAGCCTGGGAGCCAGGAGGCCTGGTTTGAAGCCCCCTGTACCTCTGACTATTTAGAGACCTTGGCAGGCTGTCTCAGGCTCTAAGCTGAGGTTTCTCATCTGTGAAGTGGGGACCGATGCCCCGGATAGTTGCTGGGAGGGGCACTGACTCTGGTGGTTCTCCTGCTTGGGGCTTATTGTTGAAATCAGGAAACTCGGGTCTAAACAGCCCGAGTGAAATCTCCATTTGATGAGCGTGTGTGGCAGCCACCTCCACTGCCCACAGACGCTGGGGCTCAGCTCTTCGTCTGTGGGGCCTCAGCCTCCACCCTCCCATGTTCTCCCTGGTTTCCGGGATCCCATGGAAATGGGTCATCCGATGAGTGGGGCTCGGGTCTTCAGAGCAAGTGCTATGGGGTGGAGGGTGACACTTAGTCTGCAGGGACATGGGGAAGGGACGGACCTCTCCCAGCCAGCCTGGGTCTGGGTGCTTTAGGGGACCAGGGTTTCTGACTCTTGTCCCAGATTCAGCACCACCTCCCACCTCATGTCCCTGCTCGGTTGGAAGTCTCAGGGCTGAGTGGCTCAGGCATGCCTGATGCCCCAGAAGATTTGGGTCACAAGCAGGTAAATATTAACTCCACAAACCTAGCTCTGGATGCAGACCTGTTTGGGCTGGCTGCCTGGGGGGCTGCAGGTTCTGAGCCCCCTGCCCAGCTGTTGCCCAGGGTGAGCAGGTGCCCTCCAGGGGAGAAAGGGTGCCTGCCTCAGGCCGGGTGATGGACGGCATTTAATCACCTTCGCTGTCCGGTGGTCAGGGGCTGCTGTCTGTTGTTTAGCGGAGGAGGAGACCGAGGCGTGGAGAGGGCAGGAGGCCTGCTCAGGTCTGCACAGCTAACGGGGCGGACCTGGGGTTGAAACCTGGAGGGTCTCGCTGCAAAGCCCATGCTCCCCGCCTTGGACTCCAGCAGCCTCCTCGCTGCTGTGAGGGCCACACCAGGATGCTCCGTGTGTCACAGGTGCTGAGGTTTGCTTTCTGGCTCCTCTGAGCCTTGGTCTCAAATTCCTCTTGCAGAGTGGGTGCAGGCTGGTTTGGGGTCCCTGGCAGGCAGGATCGGGCTCAGGACACCCGAGAGCAATGAGGCAGGGAGCTGGGGAGCGGGCCCTGCTTGTGATGTGTGAGGCTCCCCTAGGGCCTGGGCTGGGGTTTGGGAGTAACCAGCTGGCCAACCGAGAAAGCCCGAGTTTGCAGACCACAGACGAGGCATCATGGAGACACGTAGGGCCTAGTCACAGTTTCTGTCCTCTGGGAGCTGACACATGAGCAGGAATGTGAACACAGGTTTGGGCACTTCAGGGCCTGGGTTTGAACCCTGCGTCGCATTAGCTGTGGGATCTTGGGCAGGCACCGTTGTCTGGCTCAGCCTGGGCGGCTCCCTTGGAAAGAGGAGTTAAACCCGTACTTCATAGGGTCAGTGCAGGGATGAAGTGACACAGCGCTCCCAGAGCTCCCAGGACATGGCAGGTGCTCAGTGAGTTGACTTCCTTCCCAGGCCCACAGATGACAGTCCTCAAAGGCTGAACTAGAAGGTCTGCAAGGTGAGTCAAGCTGCTTCCCGGTGATGCTGGCAGCCCAGGGGTAGAAGGAGTGACTCTGCTGGCATCTGGAGATGGGACAAGGGGGTGCCAACTCCACCCGGGGGGAAAGGGCGTGTGTGTAAATGAGATGTGGGCTAAGTTTGGCTGGAGAGAGAGGGAGATGTTGGTTTTCACTTGGTCTTGCCCTCCCCTCTCTGTTGTCATAAGCAGGAGCCATCAGCACTCTGGGGGTGGAAGTGACTTGCCCAACGCTGGTCGCATTGGTGGCAGAGCCAGGCTGACGCCCAGCCTGAGGCCAACCGGACCTGGCACCTCCAGCTACCTGGGGTAGGGCCCTAGGGCTGTCAGACTCCGGCCGCCGTGGCCTGCCTGGAGCCAGCTGTGAACCCAATATTCTGGGGCACATGATACACAGGCTGGTCTTTCCTCCACCAACGCACTTTCTGTTTTTCTTCATTTACTTTTCCTTAAAAGGTCACATGTGGAGCTCACCTCTCCTTTCTCAGGCCCTGGAGGGGCGGTGCCTTTTGCCCAGAGCCTGTCCGGGGAGAGCCCTGTTAGCCAGCTGCTGGACTGCAGGGAGGTCAGAGAGAGGCCGAGTGCAAGCACTTGGAGTTGCACAGACCTGGTCCACAGCTGGGCCGGCCCACTCCAGCTGTGTGACCTTGGATAGTCACTTTACTTCTCTGAGCCTCAGTTTTCTTACTCAAGTCAATCCAACCAGCATTTATTGAAGACCTGTTAGATGCCAGGTTACGTGCTAGACATTTTTGTTGTTGTTGTTGTTGTTAATCCTCACCTGAGGATATTTTCCCATTGATTTTTAGGGAAGTGGAAGAGAGAGGGAAAGACAGAGAGAAATAGCGATGAGAGAGAAACACATTGATTGGTTGCCTCCTGCATGAGCCCCGACCAGGGCCCGGGCCGGGGAGGAGCCTGCAACCAAGGTACATGCCCTTGACCGGAATCGAACCTGCGACCCTTTGGTCCGCAGGCCGATGATCCATCCACTGAGCCAAACTGGCTAGGGCAGTGCTAGACGTTTTGGGTAGACTCAGCCACTAGCTTCTGGGAACCTGGAGATTGAGTGGGGACCTGGATCTCCACCTTGAAGTGTCGGGGAGCTTGTGAAATGACCCGTGAAACACCACACACGGCTCCTGGTTTTAACAGAAACTCAGAAACGATGGTGAGCATTCGTGTTGTTCCCAGCCAGTGAGAGCAGGTGCTGGGGTTTCTTGTGAGTTACTGTTGCTTTGATGTCACTTGTTCGCAGGAAAGTGCAGGGTCTACTTCTTGGGGGTCCGTAGGGACGGTGTTGAATGTCCGTGGGCATCGCGATGTGAGTCAGAGCCCTGGTTGCGAGTGGAGTCCGCCACATTCCCCTGGGTGCCCTGACCTTGGCAAAGAGGAAGTGCAACCCAGGTGATGTCCTAGGGTCGTCCACCCTGGGCACGTGGGGGACACCCAAGGGGTGTTTGCTGAGCTCATGAGAGGGACCATGGCAGCCTGGAATGGGCCCTAGTGGGGGTGCAATGGATACAGTGAAGGAGGGATAGCGGATGGGTGTCCTGTGCAGGAGGCGGGGCCTTGTCCTGAGAAACTCCAGAAGATGACACGAGGGCAAGGGTAGACCCTTCCTATGACTCTTTTGCCGAAGGAGGAATTCATACGAGAGTATGACGTGGGACAGTGACCCAGGCTTGGCGTGAGGCGGGGCATTTATGACATATCCACTCTGTGACAGGCACCGGGTAAGGCTCAGTAAGTCCGCTGGGGCAGGGAGCCTTTTCCCATGGTTCACTGATGTATCCCAAACACCTGGGACGGTATTTGGCTCAAGGGAGTGCTTGATCAATATGGGCTGAATAAATGAGTGAGTGTATTACTTAATTGGGTTTTGGGAGTGTCATTGTGCCCAGTCTGCAGATGAGTAAGCTGAGGCTTAGAGAGGTGAAATCATGCATTTGTTCAAGCTCTGACCCACCCATCTGCTAGGATTAAGAAGGAATTCTTGCTCTAGCCCACAGGTTGGGTGTCGGCCTTGCTACGATCCTTCTTTTGGAGAGTGACTGGTTGTGGGAAAATACAGCGACGGGGTCAATGCTGTGAATCACAGGTGATACTCTAGCCATTGGTTCCTGCTCCGATCAGGGGCACCCTTTTAAGGGGCCAGGTTAGGAGGGGATTTGATGCTGCTAGCAGTAAAGGGGGCCCTTCCGGTTTTGGTCCGACATCATCGTATCCTCAGTCACAGCAGGGGGAGGGCCCTGGCTCAGCTCATGTCTGGCACGCAGCCATGCCCGCTCAGGTCGGCTGTCCCTGCCCAGGTGCCTGCGCTAAGGTGGTGGCTGGAGGGCCCGGGTGAATCCCGGTTCACAGGGTCATGTTCCTGCCAGACCAGAACGCCCAGTGAGACTTACCGTGTTTACATTCGGCTGCTTCTGGAGCCCAGGGCCGAGTCCCAGACACAGGGGCTGCTTGGCGAGGCTCTGTTGGGGGCAGTGCACCCAGAACTCTCCCTGGGGCGCACGGGGCCCAATGAGTACTTTGCAGGGCGCCTTTTCCCATTGTTCTCTTCCTGATGTGCCTGCCCACTGGGGCCCTGACCCTCTGGCTCGCCATGAGTGGGGTCCTTGTGGTCCCATCTGCTCACCCGAGCATTTCCCGGACACCACAGGAGCCCAGCTGGCTGGTGGCTGGCTGGTGGCTGAAGATTGAAAACCCCAATCCTCTTGGGGTGTAGTCCTGCAGCCTCAGAGTCTGGGTTCAAATCCCAGCTCTCCCTCTGTGGACACTGTGACCTTGAGCCACTTCCTTAACCTCTGTTGTTGTGTTTCCCAATCTGTAAAATGGGGATGACGATAGCTCCTCTCTCACAGGGTTGTTGCAAAGATTAAAATAATAAGATTAAAGGGCCTAGAATAGCTTCATGCACTAAAAGGCAATTAGTAAGTTGAGGTTGACTTTGGCACTCACTCCCTGGTGGCCTTAGGCAACCCTAGGAGCTGCTGCCTTTCTGTGTGCCTAGTGCCTGGGCTCTGGCTTCCATCCCCAGTACTGTTTGTCCCGGTGAAGGAGTACCTGGGCCAGGTGTCTGGGGAGAGGGGAGCCGGGCAGCGTGCGGGCCCCGGACGCCCCCCGGCAGTCCCTGTCTACCTTCTCCTTGTCTCTGTCCTGCTCAGGTGTTCTCACTGCTGCCGTGCGTGTCCCAGGCCTTGCAGAGAGGAGCTGTTCATGCTGTGTCCATTGTTTCCAGGACTATTTAAAAAAAAAATTTTTATTGATTTCAGAGAGGAAGGGAGAGGGAGAGAGAGAGAGAAACATCAACGATGCGAGAATCCTTGATTGGCTGCCTCCTGCATGCCCGCTACTGCGGATGGAGCCTGCAACCTGGGCATGTGCCCAGATCGGGAATTGAACCGTGACCTCCTGGTTCATAGGTTGATGCTCAGCCATTGAGCTACACAGGCTGGGCTGTTTCCAGGACTATTACCTGATGGATAGCCCTGCCCCCCATCTAGGTTCAGGGCCCCTCCCAGGAGTGCTTGCAGCCCCCCCTCCCCCCTACATCTCCTCCACAGGAGCACTGCCTGCTGTTTATTGTTGCTCCCTGCTCCCTGCTCAGTTCTCCTTCCCCTGCTGAACTATGAGGTCTGAGGGGCAGGGACCGATGGTGAGTGTGGGAGGGTTGAGCCATAAGCTAGGCTCAGCTCGGGGACAGAGAGGGACCTGGCCTCAGAGAGCTCACAGAATTAAAAAGCGGCCGCTTGGTGCCGGGAATGGCGCTGGTGCGGGGGACAGAGAGGCATAACACATGGTTCCTGCCTTGAAAGGCCTCAGTGTGCCCTCTTCCCCACCCCCTCTCTTTCTCCTTCCCTCCCTTCTCCCACCTTCAGTATTCCATATGCTGGGACGGGTGGTGGAGAGGCACAGAGAGGTGGGTCGGAGGTCCACACACATCAGTGACTGTGGTATAATGCAGTCTTTTTAGAGACCCGTAGCCTGGTATTTCTCTGCTGTGGAAACCAGTGGTCATGACTTTGTCTTTGTGTGCCTGTGACTAATAACGGTAACACTACCCTGCGCTAACGAGCCAGTATCTGCGCTAGATCACAGAGGACTTGACCAGATGCCCTTGGAGTAAGGGTTCTGCACCTCGCACTGTTGACACTCGAGCTGGGGGTCATTCTCTGTGGTGGGGCCGTCCTGTGCCCCGTAGGGTGTTTGGCAGCATCCTTGGCCTCTACCCCCCGGATGCCACTAGCATTCCCTGCCTTTCCAGGCGTGACAGCCAACATGTCTCCCGACATTGCCAAATGTCCCCAGGGTGCGGGGGACCAGATCGGCCCGGCCGAGAGCCACTGCCGTAGATGGATCAGCAAGACTCTCTGCCCAGGTCAAGATGGGATGGGAATTTTGAAGTCGAATACTGCCTCCGGCCAAAACAAGCAAAACAGGGAGACAGAGCCCACACCATCGTCCCTGGGTGCGTACATGACCTTGTTTGGCATGAAATGCAAACGTCCATCGGGAGGTGGGCGGGCCCTTGGAGGCTGGGCAGTGTGCGCCTTGGCCCGGGCCACACAGAGGCAGGCTCCTGGCAGAATTAACTGGACTGTCACCAGGTTTTTGTGTCCTTTGTTTTGTGTGGTTACAATGCAGATGAACACGTGGAGTCCAGAGGACCAGCACCGGTCCTGGGAGAGTTGAGTAAATGTTCGGCTGTCCGTCTAAATGTCAGAGGAGCCCTGGCATGCTCCCTCCCCGGGTAGTGCGTATCTGGTTTGTAACGAAGTTGAGTTTGTGTAATTGTTTAGCATCTGCCTCCCTGTGGGACTGTGGAATCCAGGAGGGCAGAAACCAACGCTGTCTTTCTGATCAGCAAATCCCCAGACCTTGCATACCGAAGCGCTCAATAAATATGTGTGGACTGGTTAAGGGGTGGGGTTGGGTGGCAGGAGGATCCAGAGAGATGAAGACTAGCTTTTCTGCCCTCC